GCGGGGCGGGGGGGGATGCTCCTCCTCCGCCTCCGCCTCCTCCTCCTTTTCCTCCTCTTCCTCCTCCTCCTCCTCCTCCTCCTCCTCCTCCTCCTCCTCCTCCTCCTCCTCCTCCTCCTCCTCCTCCTCCTCCTCCTCCTCCTCCTCCTCCTCCTCCTCCTCCTATTTGAGTTCCTTGTAAATAGCGTCTCCCTGTCGCACCCCGAGGACAGTGTTTAGGGCGGGCCAGGCGTTTTCGCCTGAGCATTCCTCACCATTGTGACCCTGAAGCTCCAAACATGACAACGGTTTCACACATGGAAGGCGGGTAGTTTTCAACTTGTGTCTGTCGCTGTAGCGCCGCGCACATCCGTTTGAAACATTTGCAGAAGCTTCACGGATTGAGGGCGGGTCGTTTTCAAAATGCGGCTCTCGCCTCAGCGCCGCGCACGTTCGTTTTAAACAATTGCAAGAGTTTCGCGGATTGAGGGTGATTCATTTTCAAAATGTTGTTCTCGCCTTAGCGCCGCGCACGCTCGTTTTAAACATACGCAAGAGCTTCACGGATTGAGGGCAGGTGGTTTTCAAAATGTTGTTCTCGCCTTAGTGCCTCGCACACCCGTTGTTAAACATTGCAAGATTTCCACGGGTTCCCATGATCAGCGTACCAGGAATTGTGTTTTTTTTTGTGAAGGCTTCAGCATTATGAGGGTGCAACAGTTACCTTTATCCGCTGTGTTGAAGTCTCAGGAATGGTGTCCTCCTCTTCTTCCTCCTCCCTCATCATCATTAGCAGCAGCAGCATCCTTTTCATTTCCCGTTCCAACATCCTCGTCCCAACTCCTCCTCCTCCTCCCCCTCCTCCTCCTCCTCATTCGTATCCTCCTCGTATCCTCCTCCTCCTTCGTTCCCTCCTCCTCCATCATCCTCATCCCAGATCCTCCGGGTCTTTCTCCATTTCCTCTTGCTGCCGTTCCTCCTCCTCCTCCTCCTCCTCCCTTTTCTTCCTGGTCCATCTCCTGCTCTCTCCTCCTCCTGCTCCATTTCCGGTTTCTCCCCCTCCTCTTTCTCCTCCTCTTTCCGTCCCGTCATGCCCCCCCCCCCTCGTCTTGCTCCTCCTTCTGCTCGAGTGCGCCGCATCCTCGCTGTAACAGTAGGCGAGATGCAGGGATACTTTGTCTTCCTCCTCCTCGCCTCTTTTCCTCCTGGCTGCTCGGGGCCTCTTCGGCCCAGCATGCATTTAGCAGGGAGGGGGACCGCGATAACCTCGTGACTTTGTAGGCTTATGCAGATGGGCCCCACCACCGTGGCAAAGTATGGCTCCCGCCTTAGCGCCGCGCACCTCCGTGGTCTGCGGCCTGCTACCTTGTTGCACGGCTGGCGGGCGACACGTGTTCCAACTCGGGTTTTCGCTTTGCGCCGCGCGCAGTGGTGTCATAAGTGCACAGCACTTAGAAGGATGGAAGGAAAATAGGTTCAAACATGTAGCTCTCTCTACATCGCCGCTCACAGCCGTACATGTTCGCAAACATGTTCAATGATGAGGTTTCGCGAGTTATCTACAATGCAGCTGTCGTTTACGACTTCCCCAGAACTAATTGCTGGGAGTTTGAACATCTTTAGCAGTTGCACTGGTGCGGGGCGGTTCCTTTTCAAACCTTTGTCTCTCGTATGAGACTTGCTCCATTTTTGCGACAAGAACGCTTAACCTGTACAGCGTTGCGCGGGTGGGGGGGGGCTGCTCCTTTTCAAAGCGGGGCTCCCGCTGGGCACCTCGCTGGATGTGTCCTTGCCGCGTTGTCGCACTCGCACAACCTGCCAGGAAGCTGCAGGGCACCTCCTGTAACAAAAACGGGTCTCTCGTGGGGACGGCAGGCCTGCAGGGTGTGCGTCTTTCACGGGGGCGACTCTGGTAGGACAAGATACAAAGCATCATTGGTCTATCCTGGGTTGGTGGTGGTCCTCGTCTTCGTCCTCCTCCTCCTCCACCGTCCCGCTCCTCCTCGCCCGTCCACCGTCCTTCTCCTTCTTGCAAAGAACTCTCCCTTGGCGCAGCCCAAGACGCGTCGGTACGACGAGCAGGGCGTTTCGCTTGAGACTTCCGCGCCACTCATGCGCTTGACGCTTGCATGTTGCAGCGGTTCCACGGATGGAGGGCAGGTCGGTTTCATCGCATTCGTCTTTCATATCGCAGCAGCTTCACGGATGGAGAGCAGGCGGGCCATTTTCAAAAGGTGGTGTTCGCTTCAACGTCGCGCATACCCTTCATGTAAGAATATGCAGCAGTTGCACCGATTCGCGAATTGCTGTTAATACTCTAGCGCCGCGCATCTTTGTTGTTCTCATGTGCGACAGCTTCACGGATGGAGGGCGGTTATTGTTCAACAGTTGGTTCTCGTTTTTGTGTTGCGCACCGTTGGTTTACATATTTTCAAACTTTCAGGGGCTCGTATAGTTGATGTCCCCGGAACGGCATTCTGGCACGATTGTTACGTTGCTTCGCTGTGCTGGTGTCCCGCGAATGGCGTTCACGGTTTAGGGCTGTCAGGACGTAGCAGTCTTTGATTCGCGGTATTGAAGTCCCAGGAGCTGTGTTTTGGCACGGCTCGGTATTCTCAAACGGGTGTCTTCCGAAAAGGCACGTCCCGCCATGAGCATATATTCTTGCAGGGACCTGCGAATGGGGAACTTGCAGTGAAGAATAGGCATGAGCCGCTATCGACAATCAGCGGGAACCAACGCAGATGCCACCACCCACAACAAGTCGCGATTCAAAGTGATAGCGGGGCGTATGCCCATTTTGCAATTATTATTTTTGACTGGGTTGTAGGGCCTGCGCGCTGCAGGTACTGGTACCCCCGCCGCCCCTGTCAACAGCAATGTAAAGTAATCGCGGGGGGACCTAATCTGATCCAAATGTTTTTGAAAGCGCATGTTGTATTGTGTCGCGTGTATGTGTGTGTGTGGCATTAGCGTTTGTAAGGGGCCAGTCGAGTGGGAGAGGGGGACATACCGAGGCGGATCAGTAATCAAGCTCCGCCCCCGCCCCCCCCCCCTACGACGGACGTCTCGCGCATTCCCATCCGCCCTCACATCACATATTGTAGTGAAGTTGGGCATCGCGCGGGGCAGATGGGGCAGGTTGACGCGCTCGCGCGTTACGCATTTTGCCCATGATGGTCTGGTGGCCTGTTACCGCTATGCCCTTCTGCATCACCACTATAGGTAGTTTGTTTGCCACCGTCGGTTTGAGCACCATGACGATGAGCACCACCATGACGATATGGCCATGGGAATCATCTTCCGAATGGTGTATAGTGACCATCATCATGATGAACATGATGATGAGCCCCTCATCCCCCTTCGACCCCTAGCGAAGAGTCGCTGTTGTGTCGGGATAGGTGTTGATCCAGTCCTAGATGATAAGTTTTTTCTTTCAGGTCCGGATGGATCAAGTCCCACCCATAAAAAATGGCGGAGGCAAATCCCACCTGCTCCGTCAAGTCTCGTCCCGCGGTCGATCGATGTCGCGCGCGTTCTAGTGTTGTCATTGTTTCATCATTGGTCATGCTGCACGTTGTTTTTGGGTAGCACGTATCAAACTCATTTCGCATCAGGGGTAGTTTCACGAAGCTCTGGCAGAACATAATGGTTATCCCACCTGATGAAAGTTGCATCCAGCTCTCAGCATAGGCAGGGGTCGCCATCGATAGCCATCGGGAATCAGGTGCGCCACGCCCGCGAGGTGCACCGCGCGTGCCAGAGCACGCCCATCGTCTTTGCCAAGTCACGATGCACATGATCGCGGGGCGTCCGCGCATGGCCACATATTTTACCGCAACGTGCGCCTCGCATTCGTTTTGACAGGGGTGGTGGTCCTGCACACGGGAAGCAATATTGTAACCTCTCGTTTCTGTTAAACATCATCCTGGCGAAGACCCAACCACGTGCAGTTGTGAATACCGGGAATACCGCGTTGTGATTACCGGTTGCCCCTATGGGGCCACGAAACGCGTGAGTGGTGTGCCGTAATGGTTGTGGTGTGGAGCGCATGCGAACTGTGCCATTGGGGCCCTCGGTGGAGCTCCCTATGGGGCCACGAATCGTGTGAGGGGTGCGCCGAAATGGGGCGGGGGTCCGCATGCGAACGTCGCCAATGAAGCCTTCGGTGCTCGCGGCCACTGACACTGGAGCCTCCAGTGGAGCTCCCTATGGAGCCACGAAGCGCTGTACTGGGTGGGAGGAGCGTGCGGCCGCGGCCGCTCGGGCCTTCGGTGGAGCTCCCCTAGGGGTCACGAAGCGCTGTACTGGATAAGGGGGGGGAATGCGGCCGCGGCCACCTGGGCCTTAAGTGGAGCTACGTATGTGGCCACGAAACGTTGTACGGAGTCGGAGAGACGCATGTGGACCCTCTCACTGGGGCTTTCAGTGGAGCTCCCCAAGGGGGCACGAAACGTGTGATGGGTGACCCGACATGGGGCCGGGAGACGCACGTGGACCTTCGCAATGGGGTCTTCGGTGAAGCTCCCTATGGGGGCACGAAGCGTGCGAGCGGTGTTCCGAGATGGGGCCAGGAGACGCATGTGGACCTTGCCTCTGGGGCCATCCGTGGAGCTCCCCAACGGGGCTCGGCATGTGTGAGGGGTGTGCGGACATGTGGCTGCAAGACGCATGTGGACCCTGCTGCTGGGGCCTTCGGTGCAGCTCCCCATGGGGCCACGAATCGATGTATTGGGTGGGGAAAACGCATGTGGACCCAGCCAGCCTTCGGTGGAGCTCCCTATGGGGCCACGAGGCGTGTGAGGGGTGTGCCGAAGTGGACACGTGGATGGCAGATGCAGGGATGGGAGGAGCGGGCAGCGGGAGGAGTGGAGCGCGGCGTTACCTTGTCAAAGCGGTGACTCAACAACAGGATGGTTGGGAACAGTGTGAAGTGATCGCCCGAGCATGATCCATCTTTTGCCGCATGGTGGACATGTTTTGTATGTATGTTTGGTTACGACGGCGGGGGGTTGTTGACA